TTATGTGTCTTATTTCTCTCATCTGAATCCACTATCAGCCCCAAATATGGGAATTGAAACCTTGAACGGTGCGAATTTTTCTTCATGGAAAGATTCACTGATGCTAACTCTTGGCATGTTGGATTTTGATTATGCACTGAGAGAGCCTGCCCCTCCTGCCCTCACTGATAAAAGTACTGCTGAAGATAAAATAGTACATGAGAGATGGGAGAGGTGCAACAGAATGGCTCTTATGCTCATTAAAAATTCCATCAGCATAATCATCAGGGGAGCTATTCCAGATTCATCTAATGCTAAAACATATCTGGCTTCCGTGGAGGAACAATTCAAGGCAACTTTTAAGGCACATGCTAGTACTCTTATTTTGAAGATGGTGACTACAAAATATGACGGGAATAGCGGCATTCGTGAGCACATCATGATGATGAACGACATGGCCCGTAAGCTCAAGGGATTAGACATGGAGATTAGTGAAGGTTTTCTAGTGCACTTTATAATGACTTCTCTTCCTGCATCTTTTGAAGCTTTCAAGGTCAACTACAACACCCAGAAGGTCAAGTGGCCGATGAATGAGTTGATTGCTATGTGCGTACAAGAAGAAGAGCGTCTGAAGCTGGACAAACCTGATGTGGCTTACCTCATGACCGCTAATCCAAAGAAGAGGAAGGGCAATGTCGATAAGAAGAATGTTTCTAAAGTCCAGAAATGTGATGCAAGTGCTTTTTCCAGCTCTAAGAACTCTAAAGGGAAGTCTTACTGCAAGTTCTGCCGCAAGGAAGGACATAGACAGAAAGACTGCCAAGACTTTAAGGAGTGGCTGACGAAGAAAGGTAATCATCTTTACATGATACTTGAGTCCTTTAATTTAAATGTTCCAACTAATACATGGTGGTTTGACTCTGGTTCTATTGTTCATGTAACCAACTCACTACATGGATTCCTTACAATCCAGAAGCTGGAAAGAAACCTAAGAACACTTAAGCTGGGGAATGGAACAGAACTAGCTGTCGAAGCCGTGGGAACCTTAGAATTAATAATGAAAACTGGTTTATGTATTAAACTTTATGATACCTTATATATTCCTGAGATTACTCGGAATTTAGTATCAGGACCAAAGTTAGACATAGACGGTTTTGATGTTTCTCATGGTTATGGCAGACTTACTATTAGTTTCAATTCTCAAGTGTTTGGTCATGGTTTTCTGGATGGTGGTCTCTATAAATTAGAACTAGATGATGATTTTTCCAAATCTTTGTTGTCATATAATATCAATCAGACACTAACAAAGAGAAAACGAAAACGAGACTTAGAAACTTCATCCATGTTGTGGCATCAACGCTTAGGCCACATTTCACGAGAACGTTTATCTAGACTCGTGAAGAATGAAGTGTTACCATCTCTCGATTTCAATGATTTTGGAACATGTGTCAAATGCCTTAAAGGTAAAATGACATCAGTGAATAAGAAAGGTGCCACTAGGAGTTCTAATTTATTAGAGCTCAT